TAACAAGTCTCAGTTAGCTTATCGCAGTACACGTAGCAAGGGTTTTTAAATAATATAATAAATAAAAAGTAAACAGATAGAATAGAAAAAGAATAGAGCAAGCTACTGTTAGAGGTCTTATTTGCTTTTGTTAATTGTATAATACATAAAAAGATAACAGATAGAATACAAAAAGATTAGAAAGCAAGAGTTAAATAAAACAAGCAGCAAATGAATAGAGTGCAAGTCTAAGGTTTTTGTGTTTTCTAAGTGTTTTATTTTAAAGAATAGAATTAGAATAGAGAGTGCTAGAGTTAGAGAGTCAAATAAAGATGGAAGAGATGTGTTTTTAGCCGATTCTTGAAGATGGCTAAGGACTCATTCCACCAGGAGGGAACATTTAATTTAAAAGTCCGTAAAAGGGATTTTGTGCTTCTTTGGGATGGCACAATAAAGCGATGTTTCACTTGCAGAACGCAAGCTTCTAGAGGGCACATAAGTCTGAAGTAATGAATTTAGGTAAAGGGGTGCAGAGCCAGTGGTGGTTTTGTAAGCAAACATCAATGCCTTGAATTTTATGCGAGCAGCTATTGGTAGCCAGTGCAAATTGATAAACAGAGGTGTGACGTGCATTCTTTTTGGCTCATTAAAAATTGATCTTGCTGCCACGTTCTGGATTAATTGTAAAGGTTTGATAGAAGTGGCTGAACTGGCTGGAAGACCTGCCAAGAGAGCATTGCAATAGTCCAGCCTTGACAGAACAAGAGCTTGAACAAGGAGTTGTGAAGCATGTTCCGAAAGAGAGGGCCTGATCTTCTTGATGTTGAATAAAGCAAATCTGCAGGATCGGACCATTTTAGCAATGTGGTCTGAGAAAGTAAGCTGATTATCAATCATAACTCCAAGGTTTCTGGCTGTTTTTGAAGGAGTTATGGTTGATGTGCCTAACTGGATGGTGAAATTGTGATGAAGATTTGGAATCCGCTCTTGCCAGTCTTAGGGCTTCAACAACTGAGAGCAAGGCAGTCTTGGTTGAATGTCCACTTCTGAAACCAGACTGGTTGCTGTCAAGGAGGTTGTTCTGTGTGAGAAAGGCAGAGACTTGGTTGAACACAGCTCGTTCAAGTGTTTTTGCAATGAAAGGAAGAAGGGAAACCATTCTCTAAAAGAGATGGGTTAAGGGTGGGTTCCTTAAGTAGTGGGGTTATACATGAAACATGAGATAATGTTCTTATTAATGTTTACTAATGAACTTACTAAATGATTAACATATGATTATTGAATGTAATTGAAATGCTTACAAATGTCAGTAAACTTTCAGTTCATATGATCTTCATTCGTTCGTCTTTGTTGTGTAGACCTATATTTACACATCTTAACAAATAATCTATTGATTATTTGTTCAATGTTTTTGCAGTACCCAACCTAAAGTGGAAACTGTTCATCATTTGCAAATGTTTATAAATGTTTGCTAATCATTAATACCTTTATGAGCAGTCATCTCGATGGCAAAAAGTGTCCCGAAAGATCTGAATTTACCCTATTCACACATCTTTACTAATCATTTGTTCATGTTTTTGCAGTAGCCAATCTAAATGTAAATGTAACAAGGTTTGTGTAAAGGGTGGCTGGTTAAGTTTAGCTAAATGCTTGCTAAAGACATAACAGATTGTAATTTTGTTGCAAAAATGCTTTTATTTCCTCGACACTCACATTAGTATACTACTCTTCAGTATATAATTGAACAGGATATTCCTTTAATCATAAATAAACAAATCATTTTAAAAGAAAATACTTGTTCATTTATCAAAAAATTATTATAAAAGGAACACGGTTCAATCTGTTTATATTATAATCAAATGGACCCCTGCACACTGTTGTATAAAAAAAAAAAAGAAAAGCAAAAAAAAAAGCAAAAGTGTTGTGCATTAACACAAGCTATTAATCCTTTTAAAACCATTTGTAGATTTTCAATGCTTGATCATGGAATTGAAAGTTGGAATAATGACATTTGTGTAACGTTTATTATTATTTATTAGCTCTAAAAAGGGGAATATTTATGAAACGCAGACGCTACATTTGTAAGCATTTTAACTTACATGAAATAAAGATTTGTTAAACATTATCTAATGTTTAATAAGCTTATTAGCAAACATTAACAAGCACATTATCTCACATTTCTAACTCTTTGAATATATATTAACTCCATTAAGCATTATATAATGTTTGTTAATGATTTATTAATGAAAGTTATTATAAAGTGTTACCATCATTTGAAACCGCAAAGTGTCTACTTTTATTTGTGTATAGTCATAATAACAACAAAACAATGTAATTTTGTAAAATAAAGAAAATAAACAGGGTTCACTCTGTGCCGTCTCGGTCTCTGTCACCTCTCTTCACAGTCACGTAAATAAAACAACCTGAATCTCAGTGAATACTTGCCTCAAAGACATGAAAATATATGTATAGAAAGTTTGAAATGTCTACTTTTAAATGAAGTCATGTCCAAAACAAATATTCTCTGCTAAAGTAATCCATATGAAACCAACGAAAGCTGCAATTTTCCCCGCTCAACTCATTATCTCTAATGTGATCATGCCCACGAGCCGACCACAATTTTCAAATTCTAAACATCCACGTGAGACGCGCACGCATTTAAACGCCCACATTGCCACCGCGTAAACAAACAAGTTCATCCCAGCTACTTTTTGTTTCTGGAAGAAGATGTGCTGAGAGGAATAACCCAGAACTTACCTCAGAAAAAGAACACAACGCGATGCGTCGCGCAGCTAGATCCAGTGGAGAATATCATTCGGAGTAGCCTAAGATTACATGCATCTGTTGTTATTGTGTTATTGTTACATAACTTGTTCACATTTTACTAGTTAGACTTTATCCCAAACTATAATTCCTGACTACATGCATATAATCAAGTGAAACATTTTGAAATATGTGTCATTTCATTGTTTAAATGTCTCACAACGCCATGATGTGTTTAATGTTTTATAACATATAAAACCACAAGATATAAAAGTATTGTTAACACTATGATATTAGAATCTATGAATGTTTGGCACAAAGGTGTGTTACTGTTCAAGCCCAGTTTGTGTTGAATACAGTGTTATCAGACTTTAAGTATTTAAGATACTGAAAAAAACACAAATGTCAGGGCATGCCAAAACTTCTCCAGGGCCCCAAAACACCCTTAGACCCCAGAGGGTTAAACACAGGTGTAGTATAAGAGGGAAGGTATTGTTTGGTTAGAAGGAAGCATGGCCTTCTCCTTACGCTACCCTTCAATACAATTTAGATGAACTCTTTTTAAAGGTGCAATAGGTGATTGTCTTCAGAAACATTTTTTGTTATGCTGGTTGAAAGTCTCTTCACATCCCGATGGCAATCATTAAGTTAAGTAGTCTAAATGTATTTATCCGTATTTATATATTCTGTGGAAGGCGTAGGACCAAGAAATGTTCGTCCAATCAAAACGCTCGGTCCGAGCATTTTAATTGGCTTTCCTACCTGCCTGTCAACGTATGTATTAGCATACCTCTGGGTACCCGGTTTGCGCAGACAGGATACGTCATCAGCACGTTCACGCACGCTGTGCAGAGCGAGAATGGCAGGCAAACATCAACAACCCAATCTTCCTTCCTGGTATTGTAGTACTTTAAAAGTTTTCTCACCGGTAAATGACACATGTAGCCCAGCGGTTCCCAATACCAGTCCTCGCGCCCCCCGCTCTGCATATTTTGCATGTCTCACTAAGTTAACATACCCGATTCAGATAACCAGCTCGTTAGAAGTGAGCTACATGCATGAACTGTGTGCCGATCGATATGATCCCTACACAGTGTTCATTGCTCCCTACTTCCTGAGGAGGGGAAATCCGTTGAAGTTTACAGGGGAACCGCTGATGTAGCCTATTTTAGTAATGTTGTCTCTGGTATTCTGGGCCCGTATTCACAAAACATTTTATCTTACCACTAAGAGTTCTCCTAAATAGCAGTAAAAGGCCAATTAGAGCACACCTCGCTTTTCAGACCGATGAGCTTTGTAAAAATCGACTAGTTTCAGAATCGTTTCAGAAAGGCGGGGCATAGAGGAGAAACAATAACGTACATTATGAGGAAAATAATGTGTTTTTTTAAACTTAAACTGCATAAACACATTGCATTACACCAAATACACAAAATAATGTTCTTTTTAGTAACATCATATGACCCCTTTTAAAAGCTCATTATGGTCAAATGTTTCTAAAATGATAATATTCTGAGGCAGATTGCTGGCAACAGCCATTTTAGGATAGTTCAGATTTGGTCTTAGTGACTTAGGAGTCCTCTTCACTACTCCTAACGTTTCACCGATTTAGGAGCTAATTTTAGCACTTAAACGCTTTGTGAAATACTCTTGGAACAAAAATTTAGGAGTCCTAAATTTAGGACTGACACGCCCATTATTTTTAAAGATTTTCTCCTAAATCGGCGAGTTATGAGCTACTTTTAGCCTCAAGATGTTTTGTGAATTTGGGCCCTGATCTATAAGCGCATATGGGTTCAGGGGGCGTGGCTTTGGACGTCTATCAGGCTAAAGTTAGCATTTTCCATGATCTCCTACTGCACCTTTAATATTAGCAGTTTTATTTCTGCTAATGTACTCATTGAGTGGATATTGGAAGAAAAAATTCCACTTTTGATACCTTTCATCAGAATCCTATAGTGGATTTTTGGGATTGATCACTCAAAGTCTAAAGCGTTTGTCTGGAAGCTTCTGGTGGATGGTTATTGTTTGGACTATCATCTACTATGGCCTGACAAATTTTTATTATTTCACCAAACAGCAAACTGAAAAAGTTTCAAGATCATGTATAACAGAGCAAGTAAGTACTGCATTTGAGACTTTGTGAACTTTTGCAAAGAAAAACAAAACAAAATTGATCAGGAGAAAAACTAAGTAAATAAAACGACTCCACAGTTGTCAGTTACACAGAATGCAAAACACATATGAAGGACACTCACATCAGGTGGAATACGTGCCCCATCCTTCACGGTGTTGCCTTCCACAGTGATGTGATAGACCTGTCCATCTGTGTCAGTAAACACAAAGTGTTCTCGAGCTGATATGCCCTGACTCATTTCAGATTTACTCTCAGCATCCTGCAACAGACTGGCAGACAGACAACAACAACAACAGAGAGTATTGTTAAGAGATTATATTGAAACAGCAAACCACTTAGATTAGAGCATTTAAAGTGCAGTAACAAAGTACCAATTTACCAATGATTAGTGAATCAATTCTAGAAACTTGTGCTATAAATGCTATAAACCTATTCTTCCATGGAACACAAAATGAGAAATGGTGAAGAATGTACTGTCCACCATTTTCTATACAATAACATTGGAAACTTTTACCGTAGAACTCTGAAATGGCAAAAAACACAATAAGTTTAATAAAAGTAGCCCATCCAACCTGTGTGCTAAATTTCTTATTGTGCTCTAAAATCATGAAGTGTTTTTTTTTGTAACAAACAGACTACAATTTAAGTTATTTGTTGAAAGTCTTCACTTCCGCTGCAATCTAATTCATTCTTCATTCATTCAGCATCTTCATGCACCAAGTAACATTTAATCTGAAGCAGAGAGGAAGATTTAAATTAAATTTAACTTTAAATAACTTAAATTTCAGCATTGAGCCCATGAATAGACTTATTAATTATCAATCTCTCTGTACTTCAGAAGATTTGGAATATAATTTAGGAGTTGTATATAATAAGTTTATGCTGCTTTAATGTAGATTTTGGAGCTTATCATTTTTTTTTCATTATTCACTAAATCTCTTTTTGAGTTCTCCAGAAGAATGTACAACAAGAAGATCAGTAAATGATGACAGCTATAATTTTTGGGCATTCAGACCTGATAACAGAGGACTCTACACTGCTCTGTTCAGCATCAGCGAGGGTGGTCTGTCTGGCCATGGCCTCTCGTGCAGCTAGATGCTTTTTCTTCAGACTTTTAAGGTTATGCGAAGGAGACCACTCCTGTTTACACAAATAAATGTTATCATGAATCACACTGAAACATACATAACATCCTGGTTACTACTGACTATAGACATTGTGTCAATGTACTGACACTAGGTACTTGGGAAGCCCCAAACACCTGTGATACTTAAAAAAATAAAAAAATTTTAAAAAGGCCAATAAAAACTGGCGAGTGGAATTATACAGGTATAAAAGGAAATGGCAAGAATCTATTCATTCAGGTTTCTGCGGAGTAGCCAAAAGCATTTTACCTACAGGGTTACCTGCAGGAAAACCATACCGTGGACAATACATCATATGAAATTAACAATAGGCAATTAAAAAAACAAACAAACAAATAAAACTAAATATGAAGCACCTAGCCCAAGTACACAGGCTCACATTATGAGTACTTGGCCTGGCCTTGAATTCCTCCACTGAATTCGACAGCAGCAGGGTATCAGAGGATATGTGGACAGAAAACGTACCTAACACATGGAACAAAACTGGTTCAACCAGGAGATTTTAGAATCTTGCAGAGGTAGTGGGTGTTGGTTAGCCTGCTGCTCTACAGATGTTTGCTAGAGAGGCGTCATTTGCTAGACCTTAGAAGGATGTGACTCCCTGTGGAGTGTGCTCGGTCTCCAAAGGAGCATACTACACCTTGGGTCTGGTATGCCAAGGCAATGGCATCCACAATCCAGTGGGCCATCCTCTGTTTAAAAAGAGCCTTCCCCTTCTGCTTTCCAACTAAAACAGAAGAAGAGCTTCTCAGAGTGCCTGGAGCTCTTAGTGCAGTCCAAATAGATGCGCAAGGCACATACTGGAACGTCAAGGCTGGGTCACCACTTGGTCCCTAAAAGGGGTAGTGGGAACTTTGGTGTCAGGATCATATAAGAATACGCCAGACTGAACTCTAGGAATGTTGCACTGACAGAGAACACCTGCAGGTTCCCAACCCTCTTGATGGACAAGAGTGTGGCCAGGAGGTCCGTCTTCAAAGAGATGGCACTTAGCTAGACTGACTCCAGGGGCTAAAAAGGAGCTCTCTGTAGGCCCAGCAAGACTACAGAGAGATCCCAAGATGGCCTTGGAGGGTTTAACCTTTTGGAGCCTCTGAGGAACCTGATGATCAGTTTGTGCTCCCCTTACCGTCCACTTCATTGTGATGCGGCCAAGTATAAATGTGTCAAAATGCGGCCAAGTCAAAATGTGACTTGACACTTGTTCTAGCAGGACCCCTGCCCATAGAAATGCTAGGTCCATCCAAGAGCTGAATGACATATGGGTGTGATAGCCACACATGGCATGCCACAATGCCATGGCCATCTCGGGACTCGAGTCTGAAGCCAGTGCTGAAACGCTTTCATATGCATCAATCCAAGCAGTGATACTGCCAGCGAGGAAGCCATAGGCCCCAGGAGCCTCTGAAATTGTTTCAGTGGGACTGCAGCTGAACCCAGGTGGGCACCTGGCAAACTAAGTTGCGTAACTGAGTCTGACTGTCCTGGTTGATGACTAAAAAGGGTTGGGCAGTGGTTACCAGGCCCCCAAACTCCATATGAGTGGACAGTCATTTTTGACATATCTGCGCTAGGATGCCATTGGCCATCAAGTCGGGAAGCATTGTGTCCTGACCCTGTGACTATTCAAAAAAAATAAATAAAAAAATTGGTTATTGTGGTGCATTTTTTTCCTAAGCTCCCATTCATTTCCAACAGTGGTATTCACCTATTGTTTCTGTTAGTGTTGTTCTTATTAGAGGCCAAGCATAAAGTGCTGGAACCCTATTGTTTTTGTATGACTTTATTATTCGGGATCCAAGCACCGAAGGTGCTAAACCCCTAATGTATTTGTTCTGATTCCCGATTTCCAGCAGAGGCTGTACTTCCTTCACGAGCTGCCCAGGAGAGGTTGTACTTGTACTTCCTTCACCAACTGAGGAAGTTCAATCTGCCACAGGAGCTGCTTACCCAGTTCTACTAGTACGCCCAATATACTTCGATAACAGTCTGGTTTGGTTCAGCACTACAGTGGACAGTCCAGACCGCTGAGAAAATTATTGGTGCCCCCTGCCCAAGCTCCAGGACCTGTACTTTTTGAGGAAGGAGGCAGGTAGAATCTTCACAGACTCTACTGACCCTGGCCATGCCAGTTCCAGTCAATTTAATAACTGTTTTATAGCAATGCACAGCCTTCATTGAAGCACATGTACACACATCACTTGAACATAGAGACTTCCAATTTTTCTATGTGCTAACTAGATTTAGCTGTGCTTCAAAAGCATTTCAAATGCTGTAATTTCTAGTCGCTAACACATATTTTACCCATAGTTCAAAACAATGTAATATTTTAAGAACAAACACTATAAGCAACATGGCACATTGTGAGTTTGATACAGTACCAGGGCAGTGACAGTAGGGAAGTTCTTGGCCATCTCACGCAGCAGGGTTCCTGTGCGGACATCCCAGAGTTCCAGAGGTTTATCTCTGAACACCACCACCAGGTACTGCCTAAAGAAGACCCATGTACACATACATTTATTTTGTTCTCAGAAGTATACCTGAAATTTTCTTTAGATCAAAAAGTGTTTCCTACGTCAAAAGTAACCTTAGTACCCTTATGCCATCGTCTGTCTGAATACTAGATACTGACTAGGAGGAAAGTGTGTGTTAAAACCATTTAATGTACAGGTAGTTCCAGTCAATTTAATCACTGTTTTATATTAATGCACAGACTTCATTGAAGCTCATGCACACACATCACTTGCACATAGAGATCACAGAAATATCCAGGAGCACAGAAAAATATTGTCAACGCAACGTTTTTATAAAAAAAAAAGAAGCTTAGTTACTACAGGTAATTCTCTCTCTCTCTCTCACACACACGTTTATTTCACTAGACAAGAAGACGTAGTTGGGGGTCCCCATATATATATATATTCCCCCCCAATATCTCGAAACTGTTCAGAAGGCAGATAGAATCTTATAATTCCAAGGTGACGATATATCTTGCAGGATATATATTTTACTTATGTCTTATTTGTTTGATTGACTGAACAGTTTCAAACGGCAGTTTTGGAAAGTGATAGTTTTGAAATAATGAGAAAAAATTAATAAATAAATAAAATCGACATTGCAAGGTTAAACAATCACTCAGTATTTCCCATAGTTAAAGTAGTGCAATGAAAGAAAAGAGAGGAAGTACAGGGCTGGTTAAAGTGCACAACCTAGACACCATTCAGGAAATAATCAATGAAAGTAGTTTGTGTGTGTCTGTATTTGTCACCACAAAATGCATCACTGTTTAGGGAAACCAAAAGGACTCACTGAGGTGTTTGCAACTGGAAAACATCTGTTACTCACTTCAGATGTGACACTTTAATCATTTCAATGGCTGGTTCATCGTTCCCACGCTCACCTCGAAATGCAAAGCACCGCCCTGAGAGAGAAAGCACAACATATTCATTTTGTAATTAATAAATTAATGGATGAATGAATAAACAATCAATGAAACTAAAAGGTACTCTCAAGTATATAGTAAAACATACAAATTATGGGCCTGCTTAAAATTATTAGTTTGATATGGATTTAGGTCTTGTGTCCACCAAAATATTTTTAACCAGTTGAAAATGCTAGGTGCGCCTTTGAAAATCCAAACTTGGAGGCACAATGACCCATGGTTAACAATGTTCATCCAAAGCTTTTTTTATTTATTTATTTGTTGTTGTTTTTTATTAATAATGTGGATACTTTGAGAACAGCAAACTTCTCCTCCACTGTTGTTCAGTCGTTGCACAAGTAGGGTGTGACGGTTAGTCAGTGTGGTATTTGTCCCACTGTACTATGTTTTTATCAAAATAAATAGATGCTCAGCACATTGGTGAGCAACAGTTTCAAAGGGATAGGTTCATGTACAATAACAAACACGCCCTGGCCATCCTGGCTTTCTCTCTCTCTGTTTTTTTTTTTTTTACTACTTCTTTTTCAAATTAAATCATAGGAACAAATAAATATGGTGCTCTCACATTTCAAATAATATGAAGGAAGTTCAGGAACAATTTAATATAAAGCGATCAACAGTTTCTAGTTCATGGACATTATATATTTTGACATGGCGTGTAGGGCTCTGTGTCAAAAAATTATGAAGTTTCAAACATTTATTTATAACATTAATGTGGACACTGTAGTGACAAAGTAAATATGTGTTAGAAAACTAGGCTAGGCCTGTATTAATTATAATTTTCCCATTCAAAGTAATCGTAGGAATTTTGGTTGACTACCTACTGTATTTAAAAAAGTAGCAAAGACTGTGGTGGCTTAAAGGGCCTATAACATGTTTGTATATTTACATAAATTATTGTTAGATTTTGTTATTGTTGTGTTTATTTCGATAAGTGTGTACTGGGCCTCCAGCCTAACCAGGCCTAACCCTGCTTAGTGAAAAACTAGGCAAAAGCTTCAGATTTACAGCTGCTGAACAAAACTCCATGGGTTTTATTTCATAATTATTTTATTATTTAAAAGAACAGGGTTGTAAAAGTCCCTGTAGAATTTATTAATTGGGTTAACAATATAGCTCATGCAGGGCAGAAGTGTGAAGGGTTTGAAGGGTGACAAAGAATCATGAGTGGGCAGTTTGTACTATTTTGTTTTGCTTGAAAAATATGTAGCCACCACATAAAACAAGGATGGTAAACAAAATATCTTGGCTATTTAAAATCTTCAATTTATGAAATAATGATAAAGTTTAAAGGGGTAATGAAATCAAATCTCCCTTGATCGTTTAACATAAGGGGTACATGTAATGAAAACCCCAAAGTAGAAAGTCATTTTGGCAGCTTGGTTTTAATAAAAGCTGTTTTAGGTCTTCTAAAGAAGGTTTCAGATTCTAAAATGTAACGTATGTTTTTATAGTACCATTGTTTAAAAAAAAAAATTAATTTACGGTCAAAAACAAACAAACAAATTTACTGTAAAATTACATTAAATGTAAGGTTAGACCTATTCAAGTTATTCACTGCATATAATATGTAAACTTAGTTAACCAATTAACAGGTTTTTACTGTAGCATTTTTACTATCTTTTACTGTTAAATCACAATAATTTTTTACAGTCTGTTCACACTGGAAATGTCACACACACACTGGGAGCGCAGAAACAAGCGAGACGAGGAATAAAGTAAATCAAAAAGGTTTTAATGAACGCACGCTGGGGATAACAGGACGGGAGAAATCAGGCAAACCAAAATGACACTTAACAGCAGACAGAGAACTAGGAACTGAGAACACTTTAAATACACAGACACCAATGGGACACAACTGGGAGCAAATTAACTAATTAATCAAAACACAGCTGGAGACGAATACACACAATGAGGACAGGAACAGGAAGGACCAAATAAGGGCAAGGAAGGCACATGAGGAGCAAAACACACACACAAAACACGGACCAGAGTCTGACAGGAAATCTGATACTGGCCACATTTAAAACAACAATGTGAACAGCTATACAAAAAAATCGAACCGGAGCGAAAATCGGAAATTGAGCACTAAGGCTTGCAGTGTGAACAGTCGTAAGCACTTTGCTTTATTATGTCCTGACAGTGATTGCTTTATTTTTCATGAATAAACGGGATAAGCAAAAATCACAAACTGTTTCAATTGCATTTATTTTAAATTTATACTACGTTGAATGCTTGAAACTGATTGGCTGACAAATTTTCTAAGCTGTGCAATTATTTTCACGTACGGCAAATGTAGTTCCAGGCAGGTCATGACCGCTTTACATGTCCATATCACTTTGCCAAATGATTTCAGTTATTACAAAGGTCTTTACAGCCTAAACAGCAAAATAACCAAAACCCACAATGACACTAGCCAAGCAAATAAACAATATTTAGTTTTATAGTAAACAATAGGATAAAAACTACCATGTTTCCATTTTTTTGCCACAAAATTACGTTTTATTATGTACGGAAAGCACAATCTATTTCTCCTGCTCTCTCTTCCTTACAGACACACACACATACAATACTGACACTTGTGCTCGGAAACACACATGTGGTAACATTGTTAGTGCTACTCTGACAATTTTATCAGTAAAATAGTTTAGCAACTTAAAAGCTACATGTAGTTCTCTTAGAAAAAGTGTGCATGTAAAGAGTGGTCTAATTATGGTCTTGACCTAATGAAAACAATGAGTGCAGGCAGCAGCAGAGAGTACAACAACAACAGCAAAACACTGATTAAGAGGTGATGCTAGAATTTGCATGCTGTATGACATCCACACACGCACACTGACGACTTAAAAGAGATTTTAATTCTTCATTATTATTCTTTATAGTTAGGAATGCAACCTCCCTGAAATGGGTTTTTGCTGGGTGGGATGTCTGAAAGTTCATGGCGGTGGTCAAAATCAGTGAATCTGCTCACCACCAGGCAGGCAAAAATTTACTTCCAAGAATGGTCATAGCGGCATCGATGTGTTTGAAGGTATATGATAAATGGTTCAAACGGAAATATTAAAACGGGTGATGTATATTAAGCTATGCAATTTCAAGATGTCAAACAACAAAATAAATTGTTCTGTTACCATACAAAACGGATAGTTTCTGACAGGACCTAGGGCTGAATCTGACATTTTTGGCATGGAGGCTTGATCTAACATAATAAAATCATTACATGCCCACCTACATGCAGCATCTTATGTAATAAGACAAGTAATGATAGTACTTTTAAAACTATATACCGAAAATTAAGCTATCAAACAAGTAAAAGCAGTTACCATGCTGAAACAGACTGTTGCAATCATTGTGGTTGTGTTGTTTCAATTTCTTCTGCCTCAGGCTCTAACATATACAGCTCTATCACAGCGCTTGCCATTTTGAGTATCAAAACACACAACGTACTGTGAAGGAGGGCTATGTGGACACTATACGAGTAGGGCTCTGTAGCGTGGCAGGACTTAGAGCACCCTCTGGTGTCATAGCTGGGCGCCACCGCTGTGGCATACACTCATAGAAAACAATATGCTCAAATTTGAGGACAATTCGTGTTATGCACCAGACCCCTTTAATAATCTACACAAATCAAATATTACATTACAGTTGTGTATAGTCATTTAACACTTTTAAAAGTCATTGGGCCATTATGAGCCATTTATTGTTTTTGTAACTATAGTAACTGCTTCTCTATTTGCACTAAAATTTGTTAGAAACATTCTGCATATTGTTTTATTGCATTTAAATATTCAAATGGGGTGTCAGCTTAACATCGTAATGTCTGTCAGCCATCAGCGATGTGTCTGTGTGTTTTCTTTACCTGTGCGCAAGTCCACATGCTGCAGTTCATTCCTCACAAGCCCAAGGTTGTTGGGAACAGAGGTGGCGAAGGACAGAAAACTAGTCAAACTAACCCATTCAATTCCTCTGCAAAAGATGTGGATATCAGAGAATAAAATTAGAAGAACATTTCATCTTTAAATTGAATCTAGTAGAGATTTTGAATTTGTCTCATATTTTTGCATTTTGCATTGACACTGCACTTTTCTGGTTTATTACTGTGAAATTGCTTTTTAAAGGTAGGGGCTCAAAAACATTTTTTGTTATGCTGGTTGAAAGTCTCTTCGCATCCCAATAGCAATCACTTGTTAGTTAAGTGGTCTAAATGTATTTATATTGAACCATAAAATATTCATCCAACCATATATCCCTCGGTCCAAGGGCTACTTTAGGCTGTCCTACCTGCCTCTCAACAGAATGTATCTGCATACCTCCACGCACCGTTTGCAAGAAATGTTGTAGAAATGTTACGTCCTCAGCACATTCCATTACACTATTGCAGACCAAGCGAGAATGTTATTGTAATATTATGTGCTTTGTACTGTAATGTTTTCTCACCGGTGACTGAGACATGAGCTAATCTGACAGCGTTGCATTTAACACTTCATCAACTTCGTCCCCCAATTGTGTCACTGGTTAGCCTCTGGTCTGTGCACATTCATGTGTTTTGAGGGAGGCATGGCTTGCAGAGTGATTTGCAGGGAGGGTGGGATCTTACACTTTCAAAGCTAGCTTACTATTGCTAGCCTCTCCCAAATCGACTACCGTACTTTTAATAATATGTATTGTATAAAGCACTATATAAAAAAGGTGACAACTTTTATGTTAACACATTAAATGACATAGCTCCTTAAGGGACTAAGTCTACAGGCGTTACAGAAACTTTGACTGTATATTCTGAATTTTCTCTTTTTCCACTTAATGCACTTCTTTCACAATGCACCACAGCACAACAGCATCATTAGCTATTTTATTATGCTCTTGGAAACTCAAAACATGATTGGCCTTTATTATAAATCAAAACAGACTTATTCTAAAAATAAAAAGCAATGAGTCTAGAGAAAGTTTTCTCTGTGTTTAGAAAAGAAAGTCAGAAAGAATGATGGACTGTTTAATGAGACACAGGAGTGATATGTCCTGGCTGGGGGATTTAAGCAGACAGCACTAATGAGACACAAAATGGCCACATGATTAATTAGACCACTTCTCCCAGAAATATGGAGATAATATGGATTTAGGGCACAGGACCGGGGTAAAGTTTTAGACTTTCTGCATGTGTGGCACCATGAAAAGTATATGAGCGTGTAATACAGATCATTTAAGGTGGAGGGACATTAGGGACATTTTGTTCCCTATATGGTTATTTTTATTCATGATAAAGCACATTTCACCCAATGGTTGTGTGCATCACTGTGCAACACCTTTAGCAAAATAAACAATTAACAGTGTCAAAAATGTTCCATGTATTACACATTTCAGCAAAATTACCAATTTATTATTTATGTAATGAATTATGAGTGACCCCTGCTGGAGTTATATTACATCATCCACCTTTAATTTTGAGGCCACGCTTCCAGTTGACAAAGTCTTCTCATATGGGAGATACATTGATGTGTGTGCGTATCTGTGTGGAAGTCCACAGTTTCTGAAGTGTTGAGAGAATATTACTGTATTTGTTAGTTTTCTGTTTCAGGTATGGCACGGTACTGTATGTCCACCAATTTACACTGTAATGATGCTTGCAAACTCGCGCTGTATCGCAAATCGGTCTGTTTTAAACTAAAAGTCAGGAAACAGACGTCTTCTCGAGAAAACGGATGTTGCTGAGAGATGAGCAGATGTGCACTACTGTGCAGAAGTCTTAGGACACTAGTATTTTCACCAACAAAAAATGGTTTTAAGCCAGTAATTTCTATATTTTGCTTTAGTGTGTCAGTAGAAATATCAGTTTACATTACCAAACATTCCTTTTGCCATTAATTGCAATAATCCAGTGAGACTTCTCTATGCACAAGGAGTCTGACAACAGCCAGTGCTGGACACAGAGATCTGATCTCATCATCATCCAGAATCAGAAAAAAAATTTAACTGACTAAATCCAGAAGAACTGTGACAACATCTCCAAGATGCTTCAAAAGCCTTCCTACAAAACTACCTGAAAGACTATGTGCAAGTGTACCAAGGAAAAAGCTGTATTAAATGCAAAGGGTGGTCCCACCAAATATTGATTTGATTTAGTTAATAGAAGTTAATTGATAAATAAATTCTATTGATGACATTATTTTTAAAAGCATCATCACTTTACATAAATAATATAATGTGAACTGTAATCTATAAATAAATAAATGACACAGCGGATGAGAACAGTTCCTATTTTCTGTTTTTATTTGAGCTCCATAAGAGTCCATATGAGTCATGTTACACCTAGGAACATTCTCCTGCAATTTACTGTCATTGTCAGGAACTATTTTTTAGCAGAAGGATAGCATTTAATGAATTTACATCAAAAAAGTAACACATCAATACATACACTTTTGGTTTTAATATTTGTATTGCATGGTAACCATTGTATAAAAGCAATAAGGTACTCGAGGCATGCTGTATTGTGAATGAGACACTGTGCGTATGTACACTGGCTTGTGAAAGTATTCATACTCCATTTTTCCCATGCTTTATGCTGCCGTTTTTTCCCCACATCAATCTACACTCTTTACACCATAATGACAAAGCAAAAAAAAAAAAACACACACATTTGTGACAACAAAGGAAAAACTGAAATAAGTACTTTGCATAAATATTCATAACCTTAACTCAGTGCTTAGTTGAAGCACCTTTACAGCCTCAAGTCTTTTTTGGGTATGATGTGAGAGGCTTTGCACATCTGCACTAGGCAATTATCTGCCATTCTTCTCCTCACCTCTTCAAGGCACAATATGTAAGATTTTTTTATTAAAATATCCAAAAACCACTAGAACAGTGTTATATATTTTGCTGACTTGTGTACTTACATTATCCCAAATGTTTCGAAGAATGTTTAAATCCAGAGAAATAAGCAATTTTAACTAGTGACATGGACCGGGTCCATAGTGTCATTGTGTCGTCTGCCAATGACATCATAACCCCTCGATTTTTGTTTTGTAGAAAACATGGAAACACCAAAGACGCTTTAATATGTTGTGCGTTTTAATAGACCGGTGACGACCACACAGAGTAGCATTATAACAGAACTTTCAAATGTATCTAGTATGATAAAACAGCGCTGCTTTTTTTCCCCCACATACACACGACCGGAAGGAGCGGAAGCGGTCGACTGTGGCATAATAAAAGCTCCGCTGCTTTCGAGCCGTGCATTTGTTTATTTTGAATACGCGCCCTCTAGCAGCGAAAATGACATATTGTGCCTTTAAGTTCTGACAGGTTGGATGGGGGCCGATAGACCTTTTCGAATATTTCTCCAAAAATATTTGTTTGGGTTCAAGTCCATACTCAAGCCACATTCACAGAGTTGTCCATAAGACACATCTTGCTGTGTGCTTAGGGTCACTGTACTGTTGAAAGGTGAGCCTTCTGCCCAGTATGAGGTTCTGAATGCTCTGGACTAGGTTTTCATTAGGGCTATCGCTATATTTCGCTGCATTGAGCTTTACTTCTTCTATGTCCCCTAGTCCCTGCTGCTGAAAAATATTCCCATAGCATGAGGCTGCGACCACCTCACTTGGGTGGGTTGGGATGGTACTGTGCAAGTGATGAGCAGTGCCTGGTTTCCTCCATACTCGATGCTTGGGACTGAGGTTCATCGGAACAGAAACTCTTGTTTCTCACAGTCAGAGTTTTTTTTTTGTTTTTGTTGGTTTTCATGCATCTTCCCGTAGTACAGGATTGAGTCTGGCCACACCGCCATAAAGCCCAGATTGGTGGAGTGTTGCAGTGATGTTTGTCCTTCTGTAAGTTTATCCTATATCCATGTATGATCATGGAGCTCAATTAGAGTGACCATCAGCTTCTTGGTCACCACTCTAACCAAGGCCCTTCTCCATCGATTGCTTGGCTTGGCCAGGAGGACAGCTCTAGGAAGAGTCCTAGTTGTTCTAAACTTCTTCCAATAAAGATAATGGAGGCTACAAGCTTCTGTGAACCTTCAATGCAGAAGAATTTTTTTCTCTTCCCCAGATCTGTGTCTTGACATAATCCTGTCTCTGGGCTCTACTGGTAGCTTTTTTTTACCTAAGGGCTTGGTCTTTGCTCTGCATTTTCAGCTGTTATAACTTTTATTGAGGGGTGTGTGCCTTTCCAAATCACTCATTCAATTGAATTTGCCACAGTTTAACTCCACTCGAAGTATAGTAACATCTACAAGCGATAGGAATGCTCTTGAGCTGAATTTCAAGTGTCCCAGAAAATGGTATAAATACTTATGCAATGTAATTATTTCAGGTTTTATTTTTAATAAATTTGTAAAGTTGTCACAAATGTTTTTTTTTTTTTTTTTGCTTTGTCATTTTGGCATATAGGGTGTTGCCAGCTATGAGGTCATTGGACCTCGGTAAATTTTTCATGTTCCAAAATAAAATTTGCTTTCTGAATGACTAATTTGCTGTTTACAACTCCTCTTATGAGTGTCTGCATGTATAATTCAGTTTAGACAGTTTGCAAGAATGTTTAGCGTCCGTGATATGAAAATGATTGGTGCAAGACGCTAACGGAGTGAATGAGGTTTGAGAGAGTTGTGAACGAAGGCATGTGCTAAAAACATTCATAAAAGTACTAGTCAAAGTTATCATCTATATAGCAATGGTTATTCATGAAAACTATATTGTTGCATGAATAATAAACTGATAAAATTATTCACCCCTAACCTACATAGTAAAGTATTAACAAATGTTGAAATTTAAAAGTCTTCATCCCTCAAAAACAGAGAAAACATCTTTCAGAAACATCTACGTGTCTGTCTCTTTTAAAGTGTTATATAATGAGTTGAATTTGAAGGGGTCATTATAGCACAATTCTTAACCCCACCACAGCCCTCACTAATTTCCAAACCCTGGTTACAGCCATGTACAGGTGCATCTCAATAAATTAGAATGTCG